GGAGAAACCAAAGAAAAACGAACCGAAGGTTAATGTAGCTTCGGGTTCAAAAGGAAAAGCTCCAATGGGTATTGATGATGAAGAAGATGAAAGTAAAGAGGATCTACTGAAATGAAAATCACGCGAACATGAGCTTAATGAAAGCGCTTGTATTGCGAGAGATATTGAGGAAAAAGAATGAAAAGAGAAGGAAGCTTATGACGCATTGGAATGCAAAAAAACACTCTTTCCATTGTGGATGTTGGAGCGATTGATGTATGAAGTTGTTGAGTTCCCAGTGTTCATTGGGTGGACCTGGTGACTTCGTTCAATCTGACTAACACGAGGGATAATCAATTTGATATGCCAATAACAAAAAGGGCCTTCGTTTTTCACTGCTTTGATTCCATTGCAGATATTCCCTCACCTAACGTGAAAGTGGATAAAGCCTTGATTGAATTTTATCTCACTTATGGCAAACCTCAGTACCTGACTTGGTCACAGGTCACAGGGGCAATCGCTACTGGAAGCTTCGTGAATGCAAAGTTTAAGGCAACAAGAGGATCTGAAAACACTTTGCATGAGTTCACGTTTTCAGATCTGCCCAACCTTAATCCACGTGATTGAATTTTATTGCTCAACCTTCTTTTGACCGAAGAACAAAAATACGAACCCATTCTTGCTCATCTAAAGAGAATGTTGGTTTCATATATATACGAAGTGGGGAAGCTGGATATTGAAATTGCTAAGGTTTTGAAGCGAAAGCCTACAGTGAATTTGATTGGGAAAGCCAGCGATATGAGCGAAATGAGTATGGGAAAGATCGATGCAGTTCACTTAACTGTAATGTTTCAACAAGGAACTGATGTTCCTGGAGTTTTTCAAAAATGTTTTTTCGCTTTACCTAACAAACACTTGTTCTCTTAAGCATATCTTGGAGATTGTTAACAAGTGCACCTTGAATGATGATGCTGCAAAGAAGAACCTTAACAACATGATTCGGTAGTACGTCCTTTTTCGCAGGACTTTGCTTACTGTGATTCCCAAGCTCTTCAAGACGATCAAGAAGACACAACAGTGAAGCATCTCTCGCCTCAATTGACGCAAAGGGGGGATTGTAAGGTGTTAAGTGTTGCATTATTGGGCTTGTTTAGGTAGTCCATTTTGTATTCAATATTGGGCCTATCCAAGCCATCTCGTTAATTAGGGTTTGAGTATTAATGTTCATGCATGCACCTTAGATGATTAATGTTTTTTATATTGATATTATTGTAAACCTATCACGCCTCTACAGTTGAAATTCTTCATCGAGTTCATCTGAGGTGTGACTTTTAATCATTCAACATCAGTTTGATTACCTTTGTGTTTTTTGTTTACTTGTTGAATCTAATCGATATTTAAGGATTTATATCCTAACAGTTTCTCTTTAATAATGAATTTCTAAATGTCTTTATATACAATTGTATTGGAGCTATTGATAAGCCACATGTGAAGGTATCAGTTTGTGGACATGAGCAAGCAAAATATATTGGTAGAAATGGATACACAACACAAAATATAATGGCATCTTGCGATTTTAGTATGCATTTTATATTTACATGAGCCACATGGGAGGGAGTGGCACATGACACAAGAATTTTCATGGAAGCATTGCGTAGACCTGAACTTAATTTTCCGCATCCAATGGGTGGTTAGAACTATTTTATGTTCATAAAAAGTTTATGTTTTGATTACATGTTTTGAATTACTAACAATAGTTTGTTTTAATGTTCGTTACAGATAAATATTATCTTGTCGATGCCGGATATCCAAATACCAGAGGTTATCTTGCTCCATATAAAGGGACTAACATTCTCTATCATTTACCAGATTTTCGTCGTGGGCAAACTTCTGCCATATGTGCTCCAAAAGGAGCGAAAGAGAAGTTTAATTACTATCATTCATCGCTGAGAAATGTCATTGAATGAACTTTTGGAGTATGGAAGGCTAGGTGGGCACTTTTAAAAGATATGCATGTTAACTTACCCTATGAAACACAAATGAACATTGTGTTAGCATCTATGGCAATTCATAATTATATTAGAATAAAAGACAATACTGATGAAGCATTTAGCAGGGCACAACAAGATTCTTATAAATCACAAAAAGAATTCGATACTTACATGTCTAGTAATGGTAATGAACCAGATGAAGATGCAAATGGACGTCGAATAGATGATGATTTATATATGAGTGCAGTAAGAGATATGATTACAGGAGATATAACGCGATATAAGTGACAATTATATTATTTATGATGTATGGTATTTTGATGATTTTAAATTATGTATTTTGATGACTTATAATTATGTATTTTGATGACTTATAATTGTGTAATCTAAGCATGTCCATTTCGGTCATTATACAAAAAATAAGCTAACCTAAACACCATTTTAAAAGGAGCTTATTAGCTTATAAGTCATTGTTGTTATATGTCACTGACTTAACTCCGTCTATCCGAGGACAGGAATGAAGTGCCTGTGAATCACAACAAGGAAAATAAAACCATCAGTCATCGTTCGGGAGGTTGTCCTGGAACGAGGCTCCGACGATCAAGTCAGTGAGGGTCTGAGAGAGTTGAAAGCATAAAGAGAGAGTTGAAAGGTTTTTTATCCTGACCAATTCTCTTGGGGGAGAAGGGTGCCTTTTATACCTGCGGATAGGGGGAACAGATCCCCGACAGTAACTTCTACCTTTTCAGGTTTGGCAGGTGTTGGCAGCTTTTGATTGGAGGATCGTGTTCCATGAATGATTGTTCGCTATTGGTGCAGACTCTTCCAGAATCGGCGTCCCGAGCACTACAATTGTCGCTTTGAGGAACTCTTGGTACTGTTGTGTCTTCAACGTTAGCCTTGGCGCTTGGGCACCAAGGAACGGATATGGGGTCAAAGGCGAGGGCGAAGGCCCAACGTTAGTCACACGTTGCTCCTTGGGCGGTCCGTCTGTTGACCTAGTGATTCTATTATCTTTGACAGATTCCCAGTGGGATATGTCAAAAATTCCCCTAGGCTAGTAGACGTCAACGTTGGCTTAGGGTAGTTGAGTTGTTCTAGCTTTGATCTGAACACGCATTCGACGAGATGGCTTTTGACGACTGCTGACGTGATGGAGACGCTTTCACAGACGGTTTTCATCATTGTAACCGGTTGGGCTTCTCACCTGCATTTAAAACCTCCCCATTTGAGTCGAACTTCCTTTTCTTGGTTCTTTTCACGTTTGCTGCTCCAGAGTTTTCCTTTCTTCTCCTGTTTCTACTCCTTCGATGAACCATAGATGACTTAAATATAGGGATTGTTCCCTCTTCAGGTGAGTTCGCCGCTTTTCAAGAGTGCTTTGGATTTCTTCCCGAGCATGGCGTGGAGTATCCTCGAAAGGGGGCGATAATTTCTCGTCCACCGGAGGGGAAGGTCGGGGTCCTTATTCCGATCTTCGAGGCCAGTCTGAGGCTACCGATGACGGATTTTTTTTAAGAGATAATGCACCAATATGGCTTTTGTCTAGATGATTTGACTCCAAACGCCTTCAACAAGATCGTTGTCTATGAACTCATTTATCGAGCCCTTGGAGTTCTGCCACAATTTTGGGCCTTCAAAGCATTCTTCAACTCTTCTACACAATCCGATGTTCAGACCTTTTCCCAAAGGCGGGGTGTTCATGCCTTCATCATCAATCAAAAAGCTCTGAAGAAGAACTGGCAGGATTGGTGGCTCTGGCTGAATCATAATCTTGTAGGTTTTGGTTATCCTCGCTTAACCATTTTTTCCGATCGAGCGTTGAAACTGTTTAGGGCCAACACCAATGTGGCACAAGCACTGAGGACCATTTGTGTTAACGGTGAGGATTGGGAGGACTGTGTGCTTTCTGCGGTTGGGATGAGTGCTTCCTGGAGGGCCCAAGGGATGATACTCCGGTTCTACATTGAGAAAGACAGTAATCGCTTCTCCTCCCCCTTGATATATTCTCGCTTATGTGTTGTGAACCGTGTTTGGATTTTTCCTCGCTTGTAGCTCATGAGAGGATTCTTCCTTTTAAGATGGTGTTGAGGGGTCGTTTTCAGGGCACCCTACAATACCGGGAGGTGCCCTTGGTTGAGACGCTTCCTCCAACGGTCATTCTTGACCGTGCTTTGGCTCTCGACGGTCCTTCAGTCGTTTCTCCATCTGGGTCCAATTCTCCTATTGTCCAGGTAGTGGTTGATGCACCTGTTGGCGGTGTTTCTCATGATGACCCCTGCCTTCTGATACTAGGGGGGAGCCCTCAACTGGGTTAATGCAACGTCAAACCCGCACAGCCTCTAAGTGGCGAATTTCCTAGCTATATTCGCCATAGGTGGAGCCTACTAAGTCCGGCTCTTCGAAACAACGCGTTCTGAAGAGGAGGAACGTGGACTTCCTTATTGGGGAAGACACAGTAGTTTGTGGACATCCCCGATGATGACATTCCGAAACAGTCGAGGGGATAAAATAAGGGGAAACAGAACTGACCTGTGAACCCAATGAAGAACCGGTGGACACTGTTGCTGAAAGCGCTTTTGGTATGCACCAGGAAGCCAGTCATGAAGGTGCTCCCAGCTCGCTAGTTTTGCTTTTAGCTGGAGGAGACCATGTTGAGGGCTCTGTTCCTATTCCTCCGGCGGCGTCACCCGTGTATGTGCCTGGGCGGGGGATAACTTGAGAGTCTCTCCTATCTCAGCACACGGTGGCATACGATTGGGGCCGCCATGCTCCCCTCCCTCCACTATCGAGGCCTTGGAGCTTCTCTCGAATGATCATCTTTCTAACAGCCTCTTATATGTGGCGGCCCAGGTTGGTTCATATATGGTTGCGACTGCATCTCGCCTTCATAAGGGCAATTCCAGTTCCGACGTGCTTGTTCAAATCAGGGCTGGGCAGGATGAGTTGATGGCTAAGATGTTGGCGTTATAAGGGGAGAAGCATTAGTTCGAGGAGCGTTATGATCTCTTGGCGGGGGAGAAGGCATCTATGGAGGATAAGGTTGTTTCTTTGTACGGGTCAGTGGAGCGTTTCTGCCAACGTATGGAGGTGTTGGTGGAGGAGAAGAAGGTGTTTGAGGACCAGGCGGATTGCACCGACAAGCAGTTGGGGGAAGAGGTAGCGAAAAGGAAGAGTGTGGAGGATGATCTGGGGTGGTTGCTTTAGAAAGTAATTGTCTGTGTGGTGGACAAGGTGGTCGAAAGTTCTAAGTTTGCGATAGGAGTGAAGCAAATGAAGATGGCGTGCATGGTCGCTAGTGTGGAGAATGGAAAACAGGGAGGTCTGGGAACATGTCGTTGCTGGGAAGTTTGTCCTTGGGGAGGCAGTTGCTACCACAGAGCATATACAGGCGATGAACACTGTTGTGAAAGCGTTTATGGAGACAGACTTTGCCTCTTACCTCCGCCTGGGCGAGCTCGACATGGCAGGCCTTCGGCAATTGTGTGATGACTCTAACGCCGAGGACAGTCAGGTCGAAGGTGGCTCTTCTCATGCTGGTGCTTCCCCTAGTAAGTGATGGCTTTTATTTCCTATTTGAACATTTCAGAACAATGTTTATGTTTGTTTGGCATTTAAACAATGTTTCACTGATTTTCATTGGCCCTGCGTGGTGTTTGTGCAAATACCGGGGGCTTGTCCGGGTAGACAATTTATCTTGTGTATGTTAAATTCTCCTTTTTTTGGTTTGTTACACTATCGTTTTGTATTGTCCTTGTGTTTGGTGGTTTAGGTTGTCCATCTTTGGCTTGAATTTTTCCCAGAGGCTAGTGTCGCCCTTTTGGGGCGGTTGTTATTTATTTTGAAGAGTTTTGGTGATCCAGAGCAGCTGAGCTTGTTGTTTGTCCTATGGCCCAACCTCGTAGTGTGAGGCTTTGGCCGAGTTTTAGGTACGGGCTGTAGTTGGATTGCTTCATTCGAACGTCCCTTTTTTAGCTAAAAAAAACTTTGTTTTGGAGCCTTTTTCTATGCCCTGGGCCAAAGAGAGTTGCACTTTAGCCCTTGTTATTTGAACCAGACCGAGATCGTCACCTCGAAGTCTGGGAGTTTATATGTTTCGAGGGAAACGTTATGATCCTTTAAAGCCTCTTGTTTTTCATGGTTAGGAGTTGCAGCTCTACTGACCTTGTTGATATGTTTGTTAGTGGGAAATTATGAGCCCTTGAGGCTTATAATTGTGTTTTTCTCCATGATTTTATTTTTATGCGGCACGGGTGATCAGCCCATTTTTGTTTTTCGTTTGTACGAAAGTATACTGATTCTTGTCCGTTCTAAATTTTCATTGCATATATATTTTGCATGATGTCTTGTAGACACCTACATCATTTAAGTAGGTATCGGAGGTTCGATAGCTGGTGCTATTCTACTTCTAGGTCTTGTAGCGGCTAGTTGGGGTGTGATTATCTGGTGGGAGTTTGATCACATAGCCCCTTCTCCTGATTCCTTCCATGTTAGGACCATTGGCTTGGGTCCTAGGGCTCCCAGGTCATTAGGATGACTTCTTTTTCTTCTTCTTGTTCCTTCTTGCTCTGTGCCTTTCCTATGCTTACAAGTTCTATGATGTTTGCATTCATGTGACTGGCTGTTTCTAGGATAATCATCCTTCGGAAGACGATTTTCAATGTTTTCCATTCTCTAGTGCCAGTTGCTTGGTCAGTATCTTTGGGAGGTTTCATGTCATTTGGTGTTGCGTTATTGCTATTGATTCTGTTTTTCGCAGGGTTTTGCACCAGGTGCCTTCCTGGGGAAATCTTCTGCCAATTGCGGGCTCTTGTCGTTGCTAGCAGCCTCCTGTTTGTATCTTCTTTTTCAGGGTAGGTCCCTCTCTTTCCCTCCTCGGCTTTCGCGGTTTCTTGGTTTTGTTTTCTGTCAGGCTTCTTCTTCGTACCTTGTGTATTCTCTTCGCGAAAGCGTGTAGGCATGCTTAGTGGTATCCATCTCTTCTTGGTCTTCATACTAACAATACGCAATGTATCTAGCGTGTTAATACTGTTTCTACAAGACCCTTCCTCCCAGGCTACATGCCTGAGGTTTGCGCTCGTTCTTCTTATCGGAGGTGTGGTTGCCTTTCCTCTTGTCTTTAACCGTTTTGGGTGGGAGTATCATTGTTCGACTTCTTTTTGGGATGCGCATGGTGGCCCACACGACGATATCCCGGATTGACCTTGCTTGTGTGTTAATGGTTGTGACTGTTTCTAAACCTTTGGTTGTTTTGAACTTAACTGTGCCATGTATTATCGATGGGATAGCCTGTAATTGAAAAAGAGTCAGGCTCCCAAGGATGATATCATTATCGGATCTTTGCTTGATTACCGAGAACTCGATTATCCCGGTTACTTGTTCCTTCCCGTCGACACTAACTATAGTCAATGGTAGGTTTATGGTGCCGAGGGGCCACAACTTGGGTCCCGTGAAGCCAACGAGTGGTGCCTGGGCTGTTGGTTCCAGGTTCCTTCTCCAACAGGGCGGGAGTTGCTTGAAACAATGTTTGTAAAGGATATTGATGCTGCTACCTCCATCGACTAAGGCTCGCTAGGTCTTCTGCTATATGACCATGGCAGGGATTATGATTGGATCTATTGGGTCCCAATTGGGTACTCGCGGGTCTGATGGCGAGAAACTGATGTTCATAGTGTCTCCGGAAGGGATCACATCACCTTTGGCCATCCGTTGGTACTTGTCTCGATCCTTGGGTCTTGTTATTGTGAAAATCTCCTCTTTTTCGATTGGTTGTTTGTCCACTTCCTTGCGGGCTTTCCCATCTTTTTTGTCAACTTCGAACTTTGACCGTAGGGTCCTTGCTATTTATGTTAGGTCTCCTTTCAATTGCTTATCTACTACATCTCTTTTGAGTATCGCGCATTATCCGATGTCGTGTGTTTTGCTTTTGTGGTATTCATAGTAATTGCTTTTTTCCTTCTCTGTCCGTTGTTGGGTTTTTTGTACGGCGTTTACTTCCGACCTGTAGCTCCTCAGATCGTCTTTGACGTACAGGCGGAATGTCTCGAATGTTTGTTCTATTTTTCGTGGTTTCCGTCATTGCGCTCTTTATGGTTGTGGCGGGAGTACGAGTCGACTGATTCTTATTTGAGGTAGGCGTTTGCTACGGCCTTTAAATTTGCTTGTTTGCGATCTTCTCCTTCAATCCGTCGGAGGTATTTTCGACCTTGTATTTTAACTCGTCTCTAGATTTCGGTACTGTGCCTTGCATTTTTCTTGACAGGGTTCCTGGGAGTAGCCCCTGAGCAAAGGCGCCCGTGACTAAGAATTCTTCATAGCCTGGGACACTTAAAGTTGCTAAGGTGAATTGGTCATAATATGCTCAGATAGACTCTCCCTCCTTTTACTTGCATGTCATGATCAAGTTGGCATTTCCTTTGACTTTTCTCAACTAAATGAAATTGTAGAGGAATAAATGTCTCAATTGTTCGAAGCTGGAGATGCTTCCTGTTCGTAAGGCCTTGAACCACTTGCTGACGTTTCCTGATAGTGTGACTGGGAAGTAAGTGCAGGTAAACCTCTTGTCCATCCGGAGCGATGTCATCGTCCATTCATAAGTGTTTACATGTTCATTGGGATCTGTTGTGCCATTGTATTTTGGGATATTTGGGATCATGATAGAATGTGGTATTTCGTATTGTAGGAGCTCCTGGAAAAATGTCGAGCTAATACTTGGTACTGAGCCGTACATATGTGGATATGCAGATGCTCCACAGTCCATTGCGTGTTGTATGTAATAAGGTTATACCCTGGCGTTTGTGGCACATACATTGCCTGTGTGGGGTATACATGCACCAACTGATTTGACTGTGAGCTCGACTCTATTGGTCCTATGGTGTGTGAGTGCGTTCCTTGTACCGATGTCCCTTGATTGTTGTTGTTTTGCGGCTGTGCTGGGGGGTACACGTCTTGGTAGTAGTAGGAGTATGGGTTGAACACTGGATTTTGTGCGAATAGTGGGATGCACGATGTGGGGACCATCAGGGAAGACAGGTAACCAGAAGGCGTTGGTTGTATAGCGGATGTGATGGTGCTTGGGCACCAGGTTCTAGTCCCTGCCTGCCCCGTGGATGGCTGCTGGTGAGTTGTTGGCTATGATTGTGTGGTTCGTGCCCTTTAAGTGTCGTGGTGATCGTCATGGTCGGATGTGCTATTGTGGTGGGTGTCTATCGCCATAAACTAGCGATGAACTCCATCGTGGAGCTGACTAGTGACGTTGTCGCTGTTTGTGCTAGCGGATGTCCTTCTAATGTCGACAGACCGCTCTCATCGAGGGACTGCATTGGTCGAAACGGGCTAGTGGTGTCACCTTCTTGCCCCTTTGGTCCTTTGTCCATCATTTCCGACGCTTGGTGTTAATGAGTGGGTTTTGCAGGACTGAGTGTAAGCCCGAATGGCGCCAACTATTGTGATATGTCACTGGCTTAACTTCGTCTATCCAAGGGCAAGAATGAAGTGCATGTGAATCACAATAAAGAAAATGAAACTGTCAGTCGTCGTTCGGGAGGTTGTCCCGGAACGAGGCTCTGACTATCAAGTCAGTGAGGGTCTCAGAGAGTTGAAAGCGTAAAAAGAGAGTTGAATGGCTTTTTATCATGGCCCCTTCTCTTGGGGGAAAAGGGTGCCTTTTAAACATGCAGATAGGGGAAACAGATCCCTAACAATATCTTCTACCTTTTCAGGTTTGGCAGGGGCTGACGACTTTTGATTAGAGGATCGTGTTCCATGAATGGTTGTTCGCTATCGGTGTAGACTCTGCCAGAAGTGGCGTCCAGAGCACTACACCTATCGCTCTGGGGAACTCTTGGTACTGTTTTGTCTTTAACGTTAGCCTTGGTGCTTAGGGACCAAAGAACGGATACGGGGTCTTGAAGGCGAGGGCAAAGGCCCGATGTTAGTCACACGTTGCTCCGTAGCCGATCCGTGTGTTGACCTAGTGATCCCGTTATCTTTGACGGATTCCCAGTGAGATACGTCAACAGTCATAAGCTAATCCAAACAATTTTTTACCTTATAAGCCAATATATTCATAAGTTATTAAGGTTATGTTTGACGTACTAGCTGAAAAGCTAGTTGATAGCTAAAAAGCTAGTTGATAGCTAAAAAGCTAGCTGATAAAAAATAACATTTGATAAAACTAGCTAAAAAGCTAGCTAAAATATATAAAATTACATAAAAAGACATTTAAGAGTATGTGTTTCTATAATTAATTAAGATGTATATTTATAAAATTAAAAAAAAAAGACTTCTAAAAAACTAGTCTAAATAGTTTTTTTTTAAAAACTAGCTTATAAGCTAACTTAGGTGTTGTTTGTTTTTTTGGAAAAAAACCTCTTTAAATGTCTTATTGCTGCACGACGCATCACACACACAACACTTTTCATCTCGCAACTGTTTGTTTTTCAGAAGTCTTCGAATTAAAAATTCTCTGCGAGCGTTCTTCTTGGCGCACCACTTTTTTTTTTTATCTCTTCCTACCTCTTCCATCCTCTTCTTCTTCTTTTTTTTCTTACTAAAATATTGATTATATATTGTTGCAATCTTATTTCATATTTTTTTTTTGTTTTTTTTTTATTTATTCTTGTTGAAATTTTTTTTTTATTTTATATTGAATAATAATAATTTATTGATGAAATATCATTATTTTATGTTAAAATATCTTTATTTTTTTTGTTAAAATATACTTATTTTTTTTTTGCTGAAATATCATAAATTTTGCCGAAATGTCATATATTATTAAATTTTCGGTATTAAAAAATTATTTTCGGATTATAAAACCAGTTTATTTTAATTTTTTAATATCTGGAGCAAGATGCAAATGTTAAAAAAACAAACATAATTCTAATTTCAATTTACGACCGTTTGATCAATCTTTTCTACTATAGAACACGTGATCCGCATGAATTTTTGCTTAAATTTTTTTTTTGATTTTTCAAAAACAACTACTTAAAAATAAATAAATAAAATAATTAGTTAAGAAAAAAAAAACTCGCAGCGTAAAAGGGTTTTGATTTCACGGGAGTCTTCACAATAATTAATTCTCTCTTGCTTTCCAGCTAACGGCGGTGGCAGACCGGCAATCTTTCTTCTACACGACCGTAAACGGCGGTGCTGTATCTACCTTTCCGGTACCTTTCGTATCCCTCTTCAATCTTCTCAAATGATCTCCGTCTTTCCCCAATTTCGTGTGGTTTTGGTGTTCGTATGCTTTTCCACATCCTCTAAACGAATTGATGTTGGCTTTGTCTAATCATCCCTGTTTACCTTTTTGTAGTCCGCAGTTCTGTATCTTGTTGCGAGCGAATCTATCCATAACCCTATTCTGAACCCCTTTACCAATGTTCAAGAACACATTCCAGTCTGGTTTTCTATCTATTTTATACAGCCTTGGGTAGGTCTTCGTGCTATTGTTCGACTATGTAATTTTGTATTTTAATGGAAGTTTTATTTATGTAAGTAATTGAATGTGTTGTGTAGGAGCAAACCCTTGCAGATATGGGATAAAGAAGGTCAGTGGTGACTCCTCTACCATTTCTATCGATTTTCAGTTCTGTTACCATCGAGTATTGTGCTGATTTCTTACGCATTTAGGGTTAAATGCTCATTGATTGAACACCTTTCAAATGGGTTGAAATAATATTTATAGTTTTTGGGTATTTTAGTTGTTAATGGTCAGGTGAAACGTACACAAGATGAAGACATACAATCAAATATTCTTGAAATTGTGGGAACAAATGTCCAGTCAACATATATTACATGTCCTGCTGATCCATCTGCTACACTTGGCATAAAGCTGCCATTTTTGGTTATGATTGTGAAAAATGTGAAGAAATATTTCACATTTGAGATTCAGGTGTTGGATGATAAAAATGTTAGGCGACGTTTTCGGGCTTCTAATTTTCAAGTGTGTAAGTCTTCCCTAAATAGCAATGTACACTTTCATTTATTTGGAAATTCTCTACCCAATTGTAGTATTGTACTTTCAATCTCTTTTCTTATTAGGATATTATACATTGAAATATCTATCTAATTATAGTATTGAAGATTTTGTTGTATGTGGAATGATATTTGCTATAATTGATAGAATTTTCAAATTACGATGATATAATAAGAAGAAATGGAAGTAGGATGCTCTAATAAAGAAATCAAAAAAATGTACATTGCTATTTGTTGCATTAAACCCTAAAGTAATACCACCATGTTATCACCATTTAGCAACCAACTATGCCATGGAATGGAATCTCCAATTCCTTTTGACTTAATTTGGAAAGCTAAATGCAGTTGTTTACTTTTGACTTAATTTGGACATGAACGTAATTACTTATTGAGTTAAGATGAAAATAGTCAGGCTTAGGTTATGTTTGATAGAATAGCTGAATAGCTGAATATCTGGTTGTTAGCTGAAAAGCTAGCTACTAGCTGATAAAAAGTCACATTTGGTAAAAACTAGCCGGAAGATATAAAATGACAAAAAGGACATTTAGGATAATATGTTTTTCTATCATTAATTAAGGGTATATTAGAGAATTTAAAAAAGCTCTTGAGCTAGCTTATTTTTTAAGCTTTTTAATTTGTCATGTTTGGCAAGCCAAAAAGTAATCGACAAGCTAGCTTATAAAATTTTCTGAATATATCCTTAATTAATTATAACAAAAACATTCTTCTAAATGTCATTTTACATCTTCCGGCTAGCTTATCAGTTAGTTTTAACCAAACGTTTTTCTTTTGCCAGCTAGCTTCTCAGTTATCAGCTAGTTTTTTTGTTTCTTTCTTTCCTATTCCTTTAGAATCCACGAACCAAAAAGCGGGACTTAGTTGTTGAAATATGGAATAACAAATTTGTTGTTTATGTTTAAAGGGAATGACTCGAGTGAAGCCGTTCATATGTACAATGCCTTTACGAATGGATGAAGGATGGAATCAAATTCAATTGAATTTAGCGGATCTTACGCGTCGTGCATACGGAACAAATTATGTTGAGACGCTTCGTGTTCAAGTTCATGCCAACTGTCGCCTCAGAAGAATTTATTTTTCCGACCGCCTTTATTCCGAGGAAGAACTCCCACCCGAATTCAAACTTTACCTTCCCATGCAGGTTAATTACCTCGTTTATTTATTTATTTATTTATTTTATTTTATTCGTTAAGTCTTGAATTTATAAAGTGTACTTAATTGATAATGATATTTGAACTGATAAAGTATTGTTGATATAAATATTGGGGTTAATCTAAAAAAAAAACCTTATATTTTGTGTTTTTTTTTTTCGGATTAAACCTTGAGTTTATTTTTTGTCTGAAAAAACCTCATATTTTTCATTTTTTTTCCGAAAAAGCCCTCAATTTTGTATTATTTTTCCCAAAAAAACCTTCAACCTTCTAAATGGTTCCAAATAAACCCTTAACTTTTTTAGTTTTTCTTGGAAAAAACCTTACGTTTTACGCAAAAAAAACTAAAAGGGTCAAATCGGGAAAAATGAGAAAATACAAGGTTTTTTTCAGGCAAAAAATAAATTTGAGGTTTAATCCAGAAAAAACACAAAATATAAATTTTTTTTTTTTTTTTTTTTTTTAGATTAACCCTAAATATTGTTTCTTTTTTGGACCTAATGCACTTCATGAATATGAATAAAAAGACAATTTCACCCTCCTATTTAAAAATAATAAATTATCATTTTTTTTAGTAACTGTTATAAAATATAAATATATAAAATAATCATTTATTTAATAACCATAATAAATTAAAATGTACATCATCACATCAAATAACTTTTAAATTTTAAATAACATAAAAAATAAGATTAAAAATATACATCATCACATTGCAACTCAAAACGAACAATTGGTATAAACAGATTACGTATAATTAATTAGATTGTTCTAGAACAACGTTAACAAAAAAAAAAAAAAAAAAAAAAAAAGAAAAGACAAAGTCACATTAACTGCATTAAGTAAAAAGTAACATCCCTGTTTGATAAAACTGAACCATTTAGTATTAATTGATTCCAACCTCTTAATTGTTAAGAGAAGATAGGATTTTTAAAATACAAAACTGTAATAGGAAAAAAAAAAAAAAATTAGAAGTATGTTTCCATTTGTTGAATATACATGAATTTATTTTTTACATATGTTCAAGTCACTTAAAATCGTTTTTGTTTGCTTGCAGAAACAATGATTCCGCATAACAGAAAGTCTCACTTTGCTGCTCATTTCAACCTTTTGAAACTTCAGTTAATTATGAAATGTTAAAAGTTAAAACTGCTACTGATTTTAATTTTTAACGTGTTTAGGGTGTATGCAAGTTTAATTGATATTGTTTTTTACTTTTTACTTTTTATTGATCGACTTTGAAGGATTAAAATTGGTTTTGTTATTGTTGTGTTATAATACAGTAATACTTGTATTCTATTCGATGCAACTGTTAAAGTGATGTAATGGCGCACATTATCTATTTGAAACTGACAGATGTATTAATCTGATTGGAGTTCTATCTTTGTAGATTTTCCGAAAAAAAAGATGTTTTGAAATTAGAAAAATAAATAAATTAAAAGAGTATAATGGTCATTGAGTTTGACAGGGATCAAATCTGAAATAAAGTTTTTTGTTTTGGATGTCTATTGCGTAGATTTTGATCGAATGGGAATGCTTTATCGACATCAGAAATTATAAAATATTAAAAACAAATGTTTAAAAATTCTTGAATAAATTAAAAAAATATAATAGTGATTATGAGTTTGGTGGGGATCAAATCTGAAATAATGTATTTTATTTTGAATATTTTATTGCAAACATCCGGAAGGCCTTATCTATGTTAAAAATTACAAAATACTAAAAAAAATGTTTGAAAGTTCTGAGATATAATAGGCGTTATGATTTATGAATACAATAGGCAACACATCTGAAATAAAGTGTTTGCTTTGTTTGCATAGATTATCGATCATTTGGGAAGATCTTGTCAATATCAAAGATAATAAAATATTAAAAAGCAATATTTTAAAAATTTGGAATAAAATAAATTAATAATACCGTGAGTTTGAGAGGGACTAAATCTAAAATAAAGTTTTTTGCTTTGGATATCTGTTGCATAGATTTTAGACTTATAAGAGTATACGGTGTGGATCACAACGAGAAACGAATTGATTGAGTTGGAACACGAAAACGGCGTCATGACGCGGGGAACACCGCCCCCCAACTCGTTTGTAACAGTCCGGATCCCCAGGTATCTTCATTTCATATATTTTTGACATTATGTGAGGGGACTCGGCGAGTTGGAGATCGAACTCGCCGAGTCGGGTCGTGGTTTTGGGCGGGGGTTCGCGTCCGGACTCGGCGAGTCCGTTCTGTTTAATGAAACCCTAATTTCCCGACCCTAAGCCCTATTTAAAGGACCTTATGGCCCTCATATGCGGCCACCTTGAACCCTAAGAGCCCCCATATGTCGGTGAGCCCTTGTGAGAGTGTTTGGAGGCTTTTTGTTCATTATTTTGTGGGATATTGCAAGGAAAGGAGGGAGAGGATCAAGCTTGAAGAGTTGGGGAGCTTGGATCTGTTGCTACTTCACCAAGGGAGTCTTCTTGAGGTAATTTTCAGAGCCAAACTTCGTGTTTTGTGTTGATGTGCCAAATCTAGGGTTTCTTCTTGCATTTCTTGGCTTGAATTAGAAGTATGAGAGGTCCCATGGGGATATGGAACCTAGATCTGGACTTTAGCAGGTCCAGGAGACCCCTTATGACAAGCTTTATGTCCATTCTTTTGAGTTAGAAGCTAAACTTGCCATATTAGAGGTTGTTTCTTCAAACTAAGCCTTGTATGCATTGCATGGCAACCAAGACCGAGACTTTACATGAAAAATAAGCTTGGGAAGGCCAGATCTATGTATGTATGGAACGGATCTGACCGCAAAAGCCAGTTTTAGCTGGTGCATGGCATGGACTCGCCGAGTCTGAAGAACAGACTCGACGAGTCGCTTGAAGATTGTCCTTGAGACCATCCCGTGTGTAGTCTGGACCGAGTTGAGGGCGACTCAGTGAGTCGCAGAGAGTTGGAAAGGTTTTGACAGGTGGACCGAGTCAGGTTGGGACTTGCCGAGTTGACCTTCGACTCGGCGAGTTGAGTCGCGGTGGCCCTGTGATTCAAGCCCAGGGGGAACTCGTCGAGTCGGGGGAGTACTCGATGAGTCAAAAGGGAAAAACCTTGATAGTTGATTAAAATGCGTAGACTCGCCGAGTCACTAGTGTGCACTCGCCGAGTCCGGTCCAAATTGATTAAAGACGATTGACCAAGTCAACCTGTGTTGACTTGATAAGGATGGCCCACCTTTGTGGTACAAGTAATAATTATAGATTTATAATATCATAGGAGGATCGCAGCTCGAGGGTTCGAGCTCGAGTGATTTCAGGATTCACGATTAGCGACTTAGCGAGGCATACGAGGTGAGTCTTCTCACTATACTGTACCCGGAAGGGTTTTGACTGTGTGACCGGAAGGTCGAATATGATATGAGTTATATGCCTTATGTGTGTTAGGTTATTTGTTATATGTGCCATGTATGATATGTTTGATTTGGGCCGGAAGGCAACATGATATGGGCCGGAAGGCGTGGTCATATGGACTGTAAGGTTGACGTGGGTAGGACCGGTAGGTTTACCCAGTCGGGACGGAAGTCCCCTGAGACACAAGGACCGGAAGGTCAAGGCCTGGAAAGGTGTATGTGCGTATGTTGTATTTTGGGGAACTCACTAAGCTTTATGCTTACAGTTGTGTATTATGTGTTTCAGGTACTAGTGAGAACCGTGGGAAGGCGCCAGCGTGACCGTACACACACTCGGGGAAACTATTTTGTTATCTTTTGTTATGTAATCGGTTGTGACTACATTGTTACTTTGGAATCTAAACTTATTACTCATGTTTTGATGGTTGTAAAAATGAAAATTTTTGGTTGGAAATTTTATGACGTTACAAGTTGGTATCAGAGCCTTGGTTTGAGGGATTCGGGTACACCTTCGGGCGTAACTGAACTCAAACCGGGGATTTGAGAAAATTTAAATAATAATAATAATAATAATAATAATAATAATAATAATAATAATAATAATAATAATAATAATAAATTTTTGATAAGTGAGACGACCAAAGAAGAAAAAGTGTGTACGGTCAGCCAGCGCCCGAACGGTAAAGATCCCCAAATTACTCTTACAATAAGTGTTATGAGACATGTTATGATATGATACGCATGCTAGTAGACTAGGTATACATATTAAGACTAGAGTGGCCTGATTTTGTGATGCCTTAGTCTAGGGAAACCTGTTTCTATGAGGTGCTCGAGAGCGAGTGGGTAACTAGTGTATGACAAGAATAGAGTGCTCAGGATCCGGGGTTTGCGGAGGAGGACTTGGGGTGAATACCGACGCGATGTAATTGGTAGTATTGGGCCCGTACTACCAAGGACACCGGGTCAGTGGGCAGCCCAAGTAAGAATCCCTGAGTATCGGAAACTGAGCGGGACTGCGTTATCGAGTGCGATTTTGCCGGTAGAGTCTCTGATATTTTTATGTTGTATTTCAGAGACATCATGGTTGGACCACAACACAGACTTGGTACGAGTGGAGTGACTGACGAGGAGCTTCGTCAGATGATTCATGAGGAGGTAGCTGCAGCGATCCAGGCCGAGATTCCGGAAATGTTTGGGTCTATTAAGACCACGCTGATGGAGACGTTTGATGAGCGGTACGCCGCGTTGACTGAGGCTGCCGCCGCTGCAGCTACCGCAGTTGTGGCCGCTGCCAGACCACAGGGGGGTGACTCGTTGCTGTTCCGGGAGTTCAGCAACACGAAGCCACCAGAGTTTGACGGGACGCAGGATCCGATTGCTGCGGTGAGATGGATTGCTGATATCGAGGGATGCTTCTATACTTGTTCATGTCCGGAGCATCTGAGGGTACGGTTCGCCTTGAACCAGCTCCGCCTGGGAGCAAAGGATTGGTGGAAGTTCGTGACGGCGAACTTCACTCTTGCGGAGGTTTCAGCCGTGACTTGGGAGAGATTCACTGCTATGTTCAGAGACGAGTATGTTCCCCCAGTGGAGAGGGAACAGTTGGTTCAGGAGTTCTTGACCCTCAAGCAGGGTAATGATTCGGTTACGGTGATCATGCGGAAGTTTCATGAGAGGGCGATGTTCTGCCCCGAGCTGGTGTCCACGGAGCAGGCTCGGATGAGCCGGTATTTGGGAGTGCTGAGGAGAGATATCCGGGAGTTCGTATCGAACTCGTCATATCAGACTTTTGCGGAGCTTCAGGCGAATGCCAGGAAGCGTGAGATCGAGTTGGAGACCCAGGCCAGGGAGGAGGCCGAGTCTCAACGGGTGGATCGGCGGCCGGCTCAGTCCCAGCCGGCAGCCAAGCGGACCAAGTCCGCTGATTTGAGATCCGGAGGTCAGAAGGGCCGCACTTGTGGGAAGTGCGGCAAGGGTCACGAGGGGGCATGTCGATCGGGTGCTTGCTACAAGTGTGGCAGGGAGGGGCACATTGCGAGGGATTGCCCCAAGGGATTCATGGTTTGCTTCCATTGCAACCAGACTGGCCATCGGAAGGCTGAGTGCCCCCAGCTTCGTCAGGGATCTTCGCCTGCTGCCAGGGTTCCAGAGGTTCGGCCAGTAAAGACCGAGGCTCCGAAGGCTCGTGGGAGAGCTTTCCAGTTGACTACGGAGGAGGTCTGTGCGGCGCCTGATGTTGTGGCCGGTATGTATTCTTTCATGTATTTACATTTATGCTGAGATATTATGCTTATATTACTATCTGCGTAGGTACTTTTCTTGTGAATCATGTGCCTGCTTTGGTATTATTCGACTCGGGTGCGAGTCGGTCCTTTGTTTCGTTGGCTTTTAGCCAGCACATCGATATCGATCGGGAGACGATGAGTCGTCCCCTGCGAGTTGCTATAGCGGATGAGAGAGCGGTATACGCCACCGAGGTGATTCGAGGATGCGTGCTTGAGATTTTTGGGGTCGAGTTTCCTATAGACTTGGTCCCTATAGCTATGGGGGATGTTTGCATTATCGTGGGCATGGATTGGTTGAGCAAGTTTGGAGCAGTCATTGACTGCGAGAGACAGCTGGTGATGATTCGAGACCCTAGTGGGGGAGTGCTCACGGGTTATGGCGAGGGGACCCGATGTGGGTCGGCGTTTTGTTCGGCGGCCAGGGCGAGGCAGAGTTTGCAGCAGGGCTGTGATGGATTCATAGCCTATGTGATGGATACTCGAGTGACCGCGGAGAGTCCCAATTCGATTGATGACGTTCCAGTCGTATGCGAGTTTTCGGATGTGTTACCCGAAGAGTTACCAGGTGTACCTCCGGAGAGGCAAGTGGAGTTTCGTATCGATTTGGTTCCGGGAGCGGCGCCCATCGCCAAGGCGCCTTATCGTCTCGCTCCGCCGGAAATGCAGGGATTATCCTCGCAGCTTCAGGAGCT